TGTATTCAGTGTCCACTACAGTCCTGAAGGACTCATCTGATCTCTGCTGTAAGGACAGCACCCCAAAAAGCCCTTTTTAGGGCTAGAACATCAGTCTGATTTTTTTTTTCTGTGTAATGTAATTGCAGTTGCCTGCCTGCCAGCCTGTGTGTCAGGCTCACAGCATATACCGTGCCCACTTGCCCAGTGCCACCACTCACTCACTGGTGTCACAATAGCTTGCATTTAAAAAAAAAAAAAAAAAATACTTTTTTGACTGTAATATAATAGCAGTCAGTTTCCTTCATGAGTGTGCGTTTCAGGGCCTGCCCAGTGCCACCACTCACTCACTGGTGTCACAATAGCTTGCATTTAAAAAAAAACAAAAAAACTTTTTGGACTGTGATATAATAGCAGTCAGTTTCCTTCACGCGTGTGCGTTTCAGGGCCTTCCAGGGCACAGTGTCACACCAGTGCAACTCATATCTGGTGTAACAGTAGTGTACATTTAAAAAAAAAAAAAAATGTTTTGACTGTAATAGATTGAATAGCAGTTCGTTGTCGCAAGCGTGTGTGGCAGGCCTACAGCGTCTACTCTGCCAACTTCTGCCACTGCACAGTGCCACTCATATCTGTTGTCACAGTAGCTTGCACGCATAGTACCACTAATCAAAAAAAAAATGACAGGCAGAGGCAGGCCACCCCGCAGGGGCCGTCGTGGTCGTGGTGCTGTGATTCCCTTTGGCCCTAGAATAATGCCCAGTGTTCAGAGGCCACGTACCCTGAACTCGAAAAGTTCTGAGGACATAGTTGACTGGCTAACACAGGACACCCAATCTTCTACAGCTTACGCTCGGAACCTTGATGCACCATCCTCCTCCAGCTTAGCTTCGGGCACTTCTCAAGTTACCACTCACCTGCCTGCCACCACCACCAACACTAGCACCACAGCAGCTTCACTTGGTATGTCAGAGGAGTTATTTACACATCAGTTGGAAGAAATGAGTGATGCGCAACCATTATTGCCAGAGGATGTAGATAACAGGGATATGTCTCAGTCAGGCAGCATTACACACATGGACGTACGGTGTGATGATGATGATGTTGTACCCGCTGCTGCTTCCTTTGCTGAGTTGTCAGATACAAGTGAAGCGGTTGATGATGACGATGCGTCCGTGGATGTCACGTGGGTGCCCGCTAGAAGAGAAGAAGAACAGGGGGAAAGTTCAGATGGGGAGACAGAGAGGAGGAGGAGGAGACGAGTTGGAAGCAGGGGGAGGTCGTCGCAAGGAGCTAGTGGCACAGTCAGATAGCATGCATCGGCACCCGGGGTCAGCCAGACAGCACGCCAATCAACGCATGCTGTTGCCACCACCAGAATGCCGTCATTGCAGAGCTCAGCAGTGTGGCATTTGTTTTGTGTGTCTGCCTCTGACAACAGCGATGCCATTTGCAATCTGTGCCAAAAGAAACTGAGTCGTGGGAAGTCCAACACCCACCTAGGTACAACTGCTTTGCGAAGGCACATGATCGCACATCACAAATGCCTATGGGATCAACACATGAGTACAAGCAGCACACAAACTCAAAGCCGCCATCCTCCTCCTGGTCCAGCATCTTCAGCCACGTTAACCACTGCTGTCCTCCTTGCCCCCTCTCAACCATCAGCCCCTCCGTCTCTCGCCTTAAGCAGTTTCTGCTCATCTGCCCACAGTCAGGTGTCTGTCAAGGACATGTTTGAGCGTAAGAAGCCAATGTCACAAATTCACCACCTTGCCCGGCGTCTGACAGCTGGCTTGACTGAACTCTTAGCCCGCCAGCTTTTACCATACAAGCTGGTGGAGTCTGTGAAAGGTAAATTTGCTACTCTGGTGACTCGGTCCCTCTGGTCACTATTCTCCAACCCTCGATTGTCAGCTGAATATTCAGGGAAGATTTTTATGGAAGCGTATTAACCAGACACACACTCTTTGCTTTCCATAATCTTCAAGTGTATTATAAAAAGGATGGCATATTTATACAGTATTGATCATGAACTTTGACATACATTGGTCAAAATATGCTTACAAAAGATAAACGTTGCTAAGAGCGGAAATAGCTGATTTTTGCAGAAGACCACATTTCTTGTGGTCAAGCATGTCTTATTTTCCATGATACTTTTCTCGGAAGCATCAGGTCAACGTTACTTTGCGGATGCGTCTGTTGATTCAAAAGCAGAAGTGATAAATCAAAAATAACCTGTGGTTTGTCTAGTTTTTAGCTCTTGTGTAAATCTTAAGAAAGAGAATATAATATCAGAAATTATAGATGAGAATCATTAACCCCTTCCCTTCAGTCTGAGGTGTTCAAAAAATTTGTAGCTATTGGGACACCGCAGTGGAAGGTACCCGGCCGAAATTTCTTTGCACAAAAGGCAATCCCCAACCTGTACTCGATTGTGCAAAAGGAAGTAATGGCATGTCTGACACACAGTGTTGGGGCAAGAGTCCATCTGACCACTGATACCTGGTCTGCAAAGCATGGCCAGGGCAGGTATATCACCTACACTGCGCATTGGGTAAACCTGCTGATGGCTGCCAAGCATGGAATGCGTGGCTCTGCAGAGGAGTTGGTGACACCGCCACGACTTGCAGGCAGGCCTGCTGCCACCTCCTCTACTCCTCCTACTCCATCCTCTTCCATAACCTCCTCGGCTGAGTCCTCTTCTGCTGCTGAATCTTGCTCCACATCAACGGCACCCCCCCAGCTCCCCAGGTACTATTCCACATCCCGGATATGGCAGTGTTACGCCGTCTTGGGGTTGACTTGCCTGAAAGCAGAGAGTCACACCGGATCAGCACTCCTGTCCGCCCTGAACGCACAGGTGGATCAGTGGCATTTTTTTAAAACTTTTTTTTTTTTTTTAACACACTACTCTTAGGTTTGCCACCTGACTGGTATTTTAAGGCACAACCGGTATTTGAGGCTGCCTGGCCATGACGGTATTGCAATAATACCGGCAATACAAATGCAAATATTTTTCTCCGTATAGATTACACTGCAATACCACCACCGGCCAGTAGGGGTCACTGTGTATGGAGAGAGGCAGGGATAGGAAGTTACAGCATCTCCCTGCCTCTCTCTAAATACTGATCCGTAGGCGAGCATCTACACAGCACAGAGAGTCCAGACAGCAGCTCCCAGCCTGAGAAAGATGGGGGAAAAGCTGCAGGGAGACAAGGGGACACAGAGACACAAGGGGACACAGAGACACTAGGGGACACAGAGACACTAGGGGACACAGGGAAACATGGGGACACAGAGACACTAGGGCACACTGGGAAACATGGGGACACAGACACTAGGGGACACTGTGAAACATGCGGACGTTGTGACACATGGGGACACTGTTAGACATAGGTAGTAGACACATTGGGACACGGAGACACAAGTGACCCAGTGTCTCCATGGCTCCCAGTGTCCCCATGTCTCCCAGTGTCCCCAAATGTCTGTGTCTCCATGTCTCCCAGCCAGTGTCCCTAGTGTCTGTGTCCCCATGTCTCCCAGTGTCCCTATGTCTCCCAGTGTCTGTGTCCCCATGTCTCTGTGTCCCTAGTGTCTGTGAACCCATGTCTACAAGTGTCTGTGTCCCCATGTCTCTGTGACCCTACTGTCCCCATGTCTCCCAGTGTCCCCAAATGTCTGTGTTCCCATGTCTCCTAGTGTCCCCATGTCTATGACCACAAGTGCCCCCATGTCTCAGAGTGTCCCCAAATGTCTGTGTCCTCATGCCTCCCAGCCAGTGTCCCTAGTGTCTCAGTGTACCTATGTCTCTCAGTGTCTGTGTTCCCATGTCTCTGTGTCCCTAGTGTCTTAGTTTCCCCAAATGTCTGTGACCCCGTGTCTTCCAGTATCTGTGTCCCCATGTCTCTGTGTCCCTAGTGTCTGTGCTCCCATTTCTCCCAGTGTCCCCAAATGTATCAGTGTCCCCATGTCTCCCAGTGTCCCCATGTCTGTATCCACTAGTGCCCCTATGTCTCCCAGTGTCCTCAAGTGTCTCAGTGTCCCCGGGTCTCTCAGTTTCCTCTAGTATCCTAGTGACACAGGACACACTGAGACATGGGGACACTGGGAGAAATGGGGACACAGACACTGGGAGACTAGGGGACTGGGCGACATGGGGACACTGACACTGATGCCAGGCTGGCCTTTCAATTCTTTAGACAGACATGCCTCCTTTTTGGGCATGTTTGTCCTTTTTGGCAGTTCTGGTCACGTGATTCGCGTGAGTGGCCCATTCTTTTACCCCGCCCATTGACTTCCTGCTTCACTGGACACTGCTGTTAGGGGGTATGGATTTATTTGAAAGATGAAAGCATAAATTAGATAAAGAGATTAGCATAGAGTATGTGTTTTATTATAACTGCATCCTTTGAATTTCCCTTTCAACACCAACTCCATCAGATACATGCCGATTGAGAGGTTTGACTGTTTTAGTGTTTTTGGTCAATAAGATTCTGTAATTAGGCCCCATCATAATTGCCAGCACCAGGCCCACTGGGCTCTTAATCTGGCCCTGCATACAAACACACCCCTATATCAAAACTATATACAAGCAACCCTTCAAATTGCAAAACTGTACATTACACTATAGCACCAGTAAATGCCGCAGCACTGTACGGATATAGATTTTAACAGATATAAGCCGGGAAGATATGTCAGGTTGCTCCTAAGAGTGGGGGGTAACCCCTATAAATAAGGATAAAAGAAAATAGAGCCAAGGGGAGACTTGGAGGTTAAGACTGTT